CTCCCCTTTAATTTCCCACCGGTACAATAACGCTCAGTAACTACATGTGCGGCCAGAATTCATTAAAACCTGTGCCAATGATACGACGGCGATCATCCGATGCTTTTGTGTTTCCCGTTTCACATTAATGACAAAAACTTTCCCGAAAAACATCTCATCTGAATCACTGCGTCATCTCGCCAGGAGAGGAGGTTTGACAATCGAAATGCACAGCAGCAGAATATTTCAGCCGTTGACAGTGACAGAAGTTGATTGGGAGTTACTGAATAATGCATGTAGTTCGAATAAAGTGAAACAATTTATTTCTAATCGTTGTAGTCAATGAAAGAGTAGAAATCATATGGTGATATCCTGCTCCAAGCCTCGTACTGCAAAGAGGTTCCTTTTAGGATGCTACTGTAACAAGCCATTGACCTGAGAGATGAAACTTCTCATATATGTTTTGAATAAGGTCGGTATTATACTTCTTCTATCTGTTTTATATATTGCGGTAATTCAAGCTCAGTCGTGATCAACCATGCAACAACAAACGGGGTAATTATGATATTCGAAACAATCGTTCAAGAGCCGTTCCGATGCTAATTTAGATTTGAATCCGATACTATCTTGTATGCGAGTAGTATATCTTGGTGTCTTTAGTCGTTTAAAATTTTAGATTTCGTTACCATGGAATTTTCAGTTACCTTCTGTGGCATGAAAACTGACATAAAGTTGATAAAAAGAGTGATGATGTTGTACGATATCGATGAATCACTGCGTCAGTAATTTTACTCGCAGGAAACCTTTCAGGTTAGGTAGAAGACATCTTCATTTCATTCGTATAGATAAAATTTTGGCAATGATTAACGGCGATAAAAAAAATAATTTTGAGCTCCGATCCGCGACTGCGTAGAAAATTTTTTCTTAATTTCATTCTACGCAATCGTATTTGCAATACCTCCCTCCCCTTAAGCGCGTCAATCATATGCAGCGTTCTTTTAATATTTAACGAGATGTCAGTATTCATGTCTCAGAACTATATTCATAGCTTCAGTTCAACATCAAGACGAAGTGAGAAGAACACGTGAGAAAATGATTTCTTGTGACACTTCTGAATCGATTTTCAGCTTGTTCTTTCAGTCTAGCATTGTTTAGAGTTTAATCGTCGCTCATTCTTTTCGATAGTAATTCGTTACAATGTTGATATTGGCTATAGCCATCTGTTAGTTTGTCTGAAAGGTTGATACATCGACCATTTATTATTTCAGAGAGGTTTCCACATACTTTTCAGAACCAAATGCCCGAGAAAATAACGACGTTGTTTATGAAACAGGTTAGTAAAACAAGTTTCTACTTGATTGAAATTTTCGAGTTTAACACTACAGCTTGAAGCTACACGTTCAAGCTAGGTCTTTCGTTATTACTGAATTAGAAAATAACTCAAAAAGTATCAATATATGGAAAAGGTATGATGTAATATTCCGAGTGGAACTAAGTGAACTCAGGGAGAATAATTTAAAGATGGTTAACCTCGGCTCTCGCGTCCCGCAGTCAGCGACTTTGTCGTTTGCCCACGCAAACAAGAACACTACTGGCTAAGGTCAACCGTAAATCCAAAAAAAAAAAACGAAGAAGAAGGACTAAAAACCAAGGTCACGTTAGGGTTATCTCTTATCCAGACATTCATTTATCTTTTGGTCAACCAATAATCTCCAGACTTAGGTAATTTTACTCGTTCATTATAGTTATTAAAAAATACTAACACTACTTTGACTAAAACAAGAAAGTCCACTGTAATCGATTTTCACGAAAAAAAAAAATGGGGAACTCTCATCACAATTTTAATATTAGTGTCAGAAAAAGACAAAATTTTACAATCTACGTTTTGAAAGAAACTCAGAATTATTTTGCGACTTAAAATGATTGGTGCATTAAGTGACATGTCTGATTGTATTATTGCGAATATTCAAAGCAGGTAGAAATGTAATTTGGCGAGGAGGTTATATTCAGGCTCCCTGCTGTGTGTCTTTCATCTTCGGGTCTTCGATAGCAGTTGTTTCGCCCGGCGTTTTATTTAGGCCAGCTGATTAGCATATTGCCCTGGCACCTTTGTACAGGACTTATACGGTATAAAATATCCCTTCACTATGGAGTACTCTAACCTGAAAAAATATTTCTGGAATTTTTATTCACCCTCACTGTTGCCTTATCATCGATTTTTGTCCATTGTTGTCATTTGAGGCTATCAAGACTCAGTACAATTTGAAATTTGTTTCGGCGTTTTGTTACCGAGCTACACTTTCTATCCAAAAAAGTATTTGAACTTTTCGAAAAAGGAAAAGAGTCTTGCCCTTGAAATTGTTACATGGTTACTATAAACTTAATGTAGTTAACTAAACGCTATTTTTAACAAATCGTGTAAGATATAAGCCAACTAGAACTGTACCAACTAGTTGGCAATTCATTTTTTTTTCGGACTAGATACTCTCCACGCTGCCGACGAGCCTTATAATCTTAGCTAAATACTGCGAGGTTGTTTACTTTAATCCACAGAGTTGATATGTAAATTGGCCACCTAAGAGAGTTTCTGAGGATGACGTTTTGAGCGCTAGCCCTTCGTCAGAACGAAATAATGCTGGCCCATTTTAGTAAGTCAGTGATGACCTAACGTGTGATTTTCTTTTATTCTCAACGGTTAGTGTATAGGAAGTTTCAACATTTTTTAAGCTTTTTCCCTGTGCTACAAGTTTGTAATTCCTTTTGCATGGAGTATTTTCAGTCTTCAAAGATTGAGATTGTTTATTGTTTAAATTACTGATTGTTTAAACCACACGCTCGACACTCATTTAAAAAAATCAATTTGAAAATTGTGCTATCGGTAAGATTTGGTAAGAGGAGACAAAAATAGTTTGGGCCTGTTCACAACATTGAAAAAAAATGAAGAAAGCTTAAAATAATTAAGAACTGCCGAAATATTCATCTGCTGTTTTATTTTTCTGGAGGAAATCTTGTGGTTTGTAATATATATATTTCTTCCTAAAGTGTAACGCATAGTCGATGTCGGTTTCTGCGCTGTCAACCCGGAAAAGCGAGCCACGTTCCTACCATGCAGTATAAATTAAGTGTGATTGGTGACTTTTTTAGCCAAGGGCACATGTTTCTAAGATGTTATAAAAACACATAAGGTTTCGGTACAATGCATATCTTCTACAGAAAGAAATGTCCCAATGTTATCAGACTTTACAGCTGCAAAAATCAACTTATGAAAGGTCTAAACGACGAGATAAGTTAGGTCTACTAGTTACCCTCTAAACTCAGTGATTATTTCAAGTCCAGCTTCGTTTTCAAAACCAAAAATCCTGACTTTCTTCCGTAGGGACACATCCACAGAATTAAGTGTAGCTGTTGTTACTCAACCTACTCAACAAATCTTGAAGTTTCGAAATGATGGGAATCTGTACAGCACGGGCTGAGTCGATGCCATTTTCAAAACCACCGACCCAATGAATTTGAGGGGAATTTAACTTTCAATGCCTTGGATATTCCGAGACCGAACCAGCTAAAAAGTCACCGAGAGGGATCCTGAGTTTTGAGGCATCCTGAAGGCTGGCGCCGCTTTCATTAGGTTCGATGAACGTTGATTATGTGTCAGAGCAAATGTAAAGCATGAGATGTGATAAAGCTTGGTTCTTGAAAGAAACATAAGGCTGTCACCTGATAAAGGGTTTCCAGCCACTTATCTTTTGAAACCTCTTGTACATGGACTACCGAGAAAAAGCACGTTTTATCATGGAGTTTTGTGTAATCTGATGTTATTGTTTTGCATAATTTTTTCAATGTTTTTCATCTTGTCCACAGTTTTTTTCCGCCAGTTTATCTCTGTGAAAAAATGAGATTTATAAGAGATCATGGAACTCAAAATCCAGATCTGACGAAAATACCTATAATTCAGTGATAAACTATGAAAAAAAAAATTTGAAGATGATTCATAAATCATGAAAATAAGTGCTTCTGTGCATACTTTCGCGACTGTTCACAAGACGCTGAACATGAGAGATATGAAAAATCATTCTATGTGCTTTTACCAAGCAAAATTTAACCGAGTTTTATGAATACTTGCGAAAAAAATTTCAAAACACTTGTGCCTAAAGAAATAATTTGTTCCCGCAGTTAATTATAGGGCTTTCTTTTTCGATGGGAATAGCAATTGTAAGTCTCTCACCACACCGTTCCCAAGTCCACACAGGTACTCACAGGCATTGCATTATTTATGTGCATTTAATGTTCCATCTACAGTTAAGTTTATCACGCAAGTTTAAAACAAAATATAAACTATCGTAATTTTTGTGTAGGAACTTGAGATGAAGTGAAAAGGTATCATAAAAACTGGTCGTGGTTGGTTTTTTTTTGCTAATCAGATATTGCGGTGCAAGTCGCGTTTTTAGTCAAAATATCTACCCTGATTTAAATCTCACAAGTGTAAATAATTCATATAATGTAAAATAGTTCCTCATTAAGCAAAAGTACCCTATCTGGGGAATGGTGGAGTACTAATAACGTTTAATTAAATTGATGTTATCTACGATGATTGGACTCATTTCTAGAGCTCCTGCAAAACATTCCGCTGTGTTCTTATAGGCGTCTTTCCGTGAGATCCGTTTTCCTCGAGACAATTTGAATTAGCTATTTACCAAAGAACATAGCTTTTTTTTGTTTTGTTATTCTTTGCTGATTGAACTAGTTTCAACACAGTTTTAGAATTACTTAGCAACTGAGAGCTTTGATGAAAGAAGAGGCGTACAAATTTTCCCTCGATTGAACTATTTGGGTCAGTGGTAGCGGCCAACTTTAAACTTTACCTAAAATAAACTACAAATCTCTGCAGCTATCAAAAGCTCACCAAGTTTTTTCTGAGGCTAATGATGCTTGCCTGAATAGTTGAAAATGTAAACCTAATTAACATGCTTCAAAGTTCTGCCATTTACTTTCTTTGAACTGCCTACTGTCAGTCCAGTTTCGACCTCAGTTCGCTCGGAAACGACGATCTCGCATACAGCGTTTTACTCCATTTTTTACTCGGTGATAGCTATGTTATGTCTCGGAAGCGCCAGAGAAAACCGATGATCAAGACTCAAACAAAGGTGCTTTTAAAAACAGTATTTGTAAAAACGATTTTACCTATTTAGAGTCAACTAAAATTTTCTGTAGGGCATTCGCTTCATCAGACAACATATGTTATGATGTAAAAATTTACAATACCAAGATGAAACAAGCCGTGAAACACTTCTTAATTAAAAGAATATAGGGAGTCTGGGACACATCAAAATAGTGAAAGAAGCGGGAAAAGGTAGAAGAAAAATGGATTGAAGTAATCGAATATTTGTACCCTTTTGTTAAAAAAATATTTTTGTAATTGTTTCTTTAGGGGATAAAACATAACAAAAAGAGGCAGGTGATTCTATGGTCAGAGATCGAATGTTTGATATATGCAAAGCTTTTACTTTGTGTGATAATGAATAATTTCATATTTATTACTGTTATTACCAAATTAATTAGAACCATTCGCGTAATACTTAGCATAGGACCTTCGTGATCGTTTTTGATCTTTCACCGTTTTTGCTACATAGCACTTTGCAAACACTGAGACCAATATGATAACTATCAGTTGCCTGAGCCCGATTTGGAGAGCTTTAAGGAGATGATACTCGAAAGAAAGTCAAACCAAAAGCGCCTTCTGTTTGTGACCGAAACCCGGCGTCAGTCATGAATTATTATGGTGAACACAAACACAAAGACGAAACCCTGGAGAAGGTACGTACCTTTTCAATAACAGGAGGTAACAGCAACTAAAACGCAGTTTATCGAGATAAGTGTGTTAAGTGCTTATTCAGTTAAAAATTTTTCGGGCCTTTCTTATATTTGCACCTGACTTTACTTTCCAGTCAAAACCTGGTTATCGTCCAATACTGTTGTTGTTATTGTTCCATTTACCCTCTTATTTATCTTATTTCACTGAGAAATAAAGTCGAAATCCTTTAGGGAACAAAGTCATTATTTCTTTATCTGGCGATGTTCGCTAAGCTTCAAGAAAACAAGTCGGAAGGAACACCGGAAATTTGTCTTGCTTTTTTTTTCGTTACATTTTTTACTGGACCGCTCGACTGACACAAACTCGATTTGATTTGGCTTTCCCTGTAACATGTAAAGACTTCGGAGAGCAGCAAATCTCCAATCCTTCAAAATGTATTCGCCAAACATCGAGCAACCAAATTTCAGGCGGTGCGTTAATTTCAAACGGATACTTGAGAAATAAATTAAAGAACGATTTGCGGTATGTCACAAAGGTTTCAAAACAAATGTTTTTATTTGCTTGATAAATACGGATAGCGTTGGAAAGTTCAAGAGAGTTCCGACTCGTTGTTAATTCGAGCAGGTTCTAGAGAGAAGTCTTCTCTCAGGACAAAGGGTTTTATTAAACCGCACTAAATGAAAATAGATTCACGAAGCAATAGACATATGCTCTCTGTCACCCATGGGATGTATTCAAATGTCATAAAAAAATTACAAATTAATGTTTGAAATACGCTACAGGGCGATTAAGGTTTAGTGAGGTATTTTCGAGTGGAAAAGTACTTCGTTCGCACTTGGTGCAACATGACAATGAATACGTTTAGTGGTACAATTAACGATCGATATTTCTTTGTATAGCATCCTCGACCATTTTCAAGTTAAGGTACTATATCAAATTTTATTGATTTTGATCTTTTTGTTGCGCTTGAAAGAAAACCCTTTTGGTCAAATATGAAAATTTACGATCATTTTTTTCTTCTTCTCGGTCGAAACGATCGTGAGTTGTCTAATAAATCTAAGGGGAAAATGATATCTTCCGGGTTTTTTTCCGAATCTGTCTCGATCTTTTAGAATCTAGAAAACTGAACTAATATGGCACATAGGTACTTAGATATTCATCCTGTGTCATCTGCATCGTCGCCTTTAAGTGGCGTTGTCTTGACAATCACCTTCGTTTTGGATTAAAGGTGTTGTGAAATAACCTCTATCGTAATGAAAGATTGACAGTTAAAATATGATCTTTTTTTGCAATAATTACTCTACTTCTCTCACAATCAAAATTTCAGTAAAACAATCACATAATCTTCTAGGGTTTGTGACCTCAATCCAGCTCGAACCCCCCTCGAAATGATATCATGCGGTGTGCAGTGGCAGCGCCTTATCCGACTGGGTTCAAAACTTGAAAAAGGCAAAGTAATAACCTTCACTAATTTGCATGTCAGGCGAGCAGAACATCAAATTCAACAAATAATAAATACTTCAAACTCCCGCCATCCAGACAGACTGTTGTAAATCAAATAACAATGAATTGTTTTAGCTTCGCTTATGCGTCAAGAAATTTAACTATGCAGATTGGCTGAAGCAGGAAATAAAGAAAAAAAGTTTACGCGATCTCCATGCATTTTGAACACTTAAGGGTAATAACAGCCCAACAGCTATGTTTTTTGAGTAACAAAGTTGTCTTCCAGTCACAGCTTAGTTGGAACCAAAACTAAACATAAAGCCGGGGAAGATGAAGTCGTCCAAAACTGCACCATTGTATCAGAGTTTCCCCCTCTTTTTATCCATAGGGTATGACTTCAGCAAAATTTTTACAAGAAAATTTCGGCAGGTAGTCTTTAATGTTACACTCGTAAACTATTGAGCAAGGGTATATACCGAGACGGACGAGGAAACAAAATTGACGGGCCCTTTTTAATCTAAATCCCAAACGAAACCCAAGAGCTGTAATCTTTATGTAGGGGAGGACAAGTAAATGGCTACCATGTCTTACGCTTTACACGTCGTTACTGTGATATCCCTCATGATCATCAACGTATATTTTGTTCGCTTGTTAATCTAAAATTTCTAGAAAGTCAGAACAGTATGATAGTTTCGTTTCGTTTCGAACACCCCAAGTGAAGCTAATATTCGTGCTTTGTGCCCCCAAAGGACACCCCCGTAGTTGTTATTTAAGAGTCTCCCCGTCGTTGTTTCAGTCTCCCCTGAAGTATTCGTGATAGAAGGATAATCTACTATCAAACTGAGAGTGCCAGAATTATGGCATAGGTTAGCACCACTGTTATAATTGGTTTTCGCACAAAATCTTTGATATAATTTAAAGAGTAGATTGATCTAACAGAATCGTATGAAAAATGTATTTTCTACCACATGATGTGTTTTCTTCTGGCGAGGATCTATGCAAGTAAGCGCATGAGCTGGTATAATTTAAATGAGAACTCTAAAGCCTAATGAATATATTACAATTTGGATTTGTCCCCTGGAGCGGTTGCCTGCGGATTCGATCTGTGGCCAGGAACACTGCTGATGCCCAATTCGAAAATGGGATACTAATTTATTTCAACTAGCTGGAAATCAAGCTGAAATTATACTGTTTCACAGCATGCCACTCGTCAGTTTTGCTACACATTTACATCTATTTTGATGAATACAATTTTCCTATCTCAAAATTACTAATCAAAGTCGTTATGAATCATTAGCTACAGAGCAGAAAGGCACCGAGTAAGTTCACGGGTTGTCGTCCAACTGTTTGTGCTTAAGCACATCTGCAATGGTCATAGATAAAAAGAGCTTGGAAAAAAATCGGTGAATCAAGGCACCGATGGAAAAAAGAGGACTTGATACATGCTTCCATGAAATAAAAAAAAATTAATGTTTATCATTACAGATTAAGAAATTCTATAACTCAATATGCATCTATTTTTTAAAACGCTTTACTTTTGCAGCGTCAATTCTTTCCCACAATCTGTTAAGGCCATCTAAACCTTTTCAATTTTCTTTTCTTTTTATGTTCATAATTTTTTTGACACGTATTTAAACATGATGTTGGGAATTGAATAAAGATATTTGTGGTTTTGTTTTTACAAAACACTCCCTAAGTAAATAAATTGCTTAAGCTTTGGGGGAGTTTCCGAAGGCTTTATTTTGACCTTAATCATGTAAACGAATCTATTACCGTTGACAAGAGAACGCTGTTTAACTTACAGTTCAGCTCATCAGAAAAAGACGTTCGCCACTTTTAAGGGAAACTATTACTTTTGAAATAATACTAAAAATATTCTCGAGTGCTTGTTTTAATTCTATGTAAGTCCAACATTGTAAGAAATAAACATTTTCTCGCTATAAAATATTCCCTGACACAGAAGTTTATAGACTGGCGTTTAGAAGTAAAATGATTGCCAAGAAAAAAATTGAAAATAAAAACATGTACCAAGTACCTGCTAACAGGCCACCGCTAACAGGTATTTCAATATTTAGATATCATGCGGTTTCACCGCGCGCATTTGAGTCCAATAATTTCTGTCGTCAGAGCTCGTTTTTGCGGAAGGAGAGGAAAGGCTTTTAAATATTACTTTCAATGTGTGCTTTTTTCATCTGAGGGAAATGGATCGCATGAAAACTGTAAGATATGGGCTATGTTGCTGTTTTCCTATGCAAATTTTTATCACTTTAGGTGGATTATTACACTACTGAGGCAATTAAATTTTAACATTAGTGTACTTCAGACAAGGCGACAAGTTTTACGAGCAAACACGGTCGATTAAATGTTTGCGTAGGTTTATGAATCGGCGTTTTTACTTCTTATTACAACTTCCAGGTGATGTTCTCGTGTACGCTGCCTCCCTGTTCACTGACCCGAAAGGAACATAAAATTGCGAGAGAGAGAGAAAGGAAGAATACCCTAAAGGAAGGCAAGAATCGTTATAACATTGTAAAAGGCTTGGCAGAAGGTGTCGATGGAATTTCCTTTGAAAGTGTGCTTAAAAAAAGACACTACCTACGAGCAAGAAATAACTATCTCATTTTGGAGCCCTTCGATGACTCTGAAGACTACAGTAAGTGATTAAAACGTGTTTGATTCATGTTTTTCGTGACAAAGATATTCCATGAAAAGATAAAACATGAACTCAAACTTAGCTGAAGGAATAGGTACTGAAAAGCAACTGGCTGAGCTCATTGGATACGTTTGCTACCCAACGCCTGACCATCTCAATATGCTGCCAAAATACCTGTTATGTCACCGTCGGTTTTGCTAATTTTTCACTACCACGCTCTATTGCTCAAACTCAAATTGAAAATTTCCCACTGTTACTTTGTTTTTTTTTTTTTTACGGGGGGGTTGTTGACACCCAAGCTGTCCAGTAAGCAAGAAAACTCGTTTTCAGCAGTTGTGAAAAAGCAAGTATGATAAATGAGTATATCGTTTTTTTGATTTCGTCAACTATTTCCAGCCAGCAAAGGCAGAATCGATTCCGTGACAGTTGTTCGAGAGATCTTATCGAAGAAGTTCATGTTAATATCAAAAGATAGAGGTGATTGCAATTTTATCTCCCTTCGTTTCGGGAAAAAATTAAGTTTGATGGCAAAAATCTTTCTCATTTGTCTAGAAGTCGACCATTGGATATTGTGGAAAGGGTTCTCTTCATTTCTGCTTACATTCTCAGAGTTCAAATAGACATTCATTGCGTACCACGTTTTTATACGCCAATTAGTTATTGCGTGTACTTCATCATTATTCTACCATATGCATTTATTATTATCTCACCTAATTCCCTGGAGCGCCCCATATACACGTGCACTTCCTATTACGTCACTTAAGCATTGTCTACCACTACATCACACCTTACTACCCCTCCCACAATATATAGCTGTATTACTGATATTTTCTATCCCTGATGATGCTGTGGATCAGCAAAGGGTTCGAGACTTTTTCCTATTCAGATTTTTAATCTAGCCTTAGGCCTCACTTGAAGCCGTTCTACATTTTCAAAATGCTATTACAGGTCAACGTGAAACGGTAAAAGTAAATAGAATTTCGAGTTTCAAATCGAGCCATTTTGGCGAGCTGACGGAAACATTCGTAGGACTCAATGCCAAAGTTGATAAAATTACAACAACCGGGTTATGGACCGCCATTATTGACACATTTTGAGGTGATATTTGTTTATTTTCTTGTACTACTATGCTCCCTGAACCCCTATAGCTATTTTATATGGCTTAAGTGTCCCTACATTGAATTTCAGATTCGAGTAATTCTAGTCCAATTACGTTTATCCCTCTGAAAAAAAGTTGCTCCCCCATCCCCCTAGCTTACTTTAAAATCAAGAGGTTTCGTCAGAAAAGACAGGCCAAAAATCCGGTAAAGCAGAGAGTTTTCAAAAGTTCTCCATCATAAAAGATTACATTCATCTATGACAATAGAGGAAACGTAACAGAAGAAGAGATTACCTCTTGGAGGCAATTAAAAAAAACTTATTGATTTACACCAGGAAGTCTTCTCTATCTGTCTTAGTTACTTATTTATTGATAGAATTACTGCGGATTTTTCCAACGAGTCACTAGCTACTTAGAAAATAACACTCAGATGTTTTCGTACGATTTTGTTTCAGGAAAAGAAAGTACATTTGTTCCCCTTCAAGACATGTGGTTTGAGGGCTATTTTGCATTCGAATCGCTCTTAAATCCGGCGCATTTTATTCGTAGACGCGGAGAGAAACTGCGTCTGCAGAAGTACGAGAACTCTCACTTTTTCAAAGAGGACTCCAGCTTCAAGTTAACGAGAAAGAGGTGTATGGGTGAGTTAAATTCTTAAAGGACTTAAAAGGAAATCGAATTCATATCCAACTACATAAGGAGGAAAAAAACTTAGTGATCCTTTGTACTAAAAATTGTCCTGTAAATTAGTGACTTTGCACGAGAGGCAGTGACTATAACCTCTAGGTAAGATTCTCGCACAGCCCCATTGTATTATGAAACAAAACTGTAGTCCTAAAGGCAGTCTATCCTTTTCGCTATTGTTTTCTTTATCCAAGAATTGTATGCGTATTGTATTGTATGGTCATCGGGCTGTGCGGAAGTCTTACCGAAATCTCCACTCAGGTTGCAGTCATGAACAGGGCTAAAAATTAACTCCAGTGCCTGGTGGCTAGTCGGGCCAGTTTCCTTGAATTCGTGGTGGCCCATCCCAAAATGAAGAAGCCCTCGATTTCCTTTAGTTTAAAATTAAAAAATTGAATAAACACTCCCTGGCTTTTAACGGAGTGTTAATTAAAAGGAAAGAACACAAAAGTCCAGAATCACGTGGCAATCACAAAATCAAAATGGCGTCTATATGTGGATTGCTCGTGAAATCATTGTTAAAACGGCTCGGAATTTCCACTTCAGAACTAAAAATTCACTAAAATGGATGATCTTAGAGTCCAGGTAAAGAAACGAAGAGAATGGTAGTCCAATTAAATTCCAAATTGAGTTCTATTTTTAACTTTGTACTTCGCATAATTTACATTGCAACTTTTCGAAATTCTGTAGCATAGTCGCTCATCGGGCGTTCAAACCTTAACTTTTGGTAGCCCTGGTCAGTTTTAACTCGCCACTGGCGACCGTGCGACCGCCAATTTTTAGCCTTGCATAAACCTATACTTTTCCAGTTTCATCGATAAAATTTACTACAACAAGGTACCAAAAAAAATTGGAGGAACTTTATTTAGTGTCTCTACGCAAAATTCAGTTACTCACGAAGAAGTGATAAACACATACAAATTTACACCAAAAGCAGCAAATTTGTTTTGAATTACTGAAATAGCATCATGGCTAATTAGCGAGCGCTGCAATGGAAAATTTTTGCTTCAAAGGAAAAAGTGAACGAGCACTAGCTCACAAAAACGGCCAAATATTCTTAATTCTTTTAATTACTTCAGGAATATTACAATTTTAAGCAGTGTATTTCGATGTCTAAGAGAAATCCTTAGCAAATTTGTGTCATGGTGTAACATGCATCAATACAACCTGCAATTAAGCTCATATTGAGCTGAAAATCAGGGTATTAAATCTTGCATACCAATTAAAATAGGAAAGAAAAATTGAATGTTTCTGTTCTTACCTTGCATCCAAATGTCCCGAACATTTCTTGCCAAGTCTTCTTTCACGAATGGAAACAAGTATTGAAAGAAAATTCTGGAAACGTGTCACTTTGCCACCAGCTACGCGGCTTTCATGCAAAAAGCGCGGGAAAATGCTATTCATGGAGACTGGGGATGAAAAGGACGAGTTTGAGGAGTCTTTTCGCTTCTAATGGCCAACATCAATTTAGTTATCAAACTTCGTTTTTATTCCTGGCCATTTTTTAAATGACGAGACAATTTTTCTGCGTCTCCCTTTTTTTACCCTCTGAGAGACAATGTCTGTACTTGCCGGCCGGCATTCAACTTTGATCGGGAAGAGTGAGAAGGATGGAATCTTCTGGGATTTACGATAGATTTGTAACATTTTAATGACAATAGATACTAACCTATGGGTTCCTCCATATTACAGCTTGTGTTAAGGAAGGCTCGCGAGTCTGGGCGAGGGCCGAGAAAGGATGTTTCCAACGAGGTGTTGTGACAGCGATGGACGACGACATACACGTACAACTCGAAAATGGCAAGAAAATAAGACACAAGAAGGAACATCCTGAATGTGTGGTGCCTGACGCCGTACCACATGTGAGGGAAGTTGACATTGGCACAAGAGTGTTGGCCAGATGGTATAATCGCTTAGACACTTGTTATCCTGGAACGGTGACTGCCATTCGACGCAGTTTCTTTGACATAATATTCGATGACGGAGATAAGGGAATCAATGAGCTTCGAGAATTAAGAATACTGAGGAAAACTGAGGGCGAAGAAGGTGAGCTAAGACAGCCCCAAAAACATAAATTTATTGTTTATTATGTCAAACAACAATATTTTTATTTACCTGCGTGTTGATCATAGTTATTATGGCTATCAATTACATCTCATTATCGACTTTTTTGTCATCAGTGTTTTTCATTGACTTATTGTTTTGAGGACTCAACAAGTGAATAACCATGTGAATTCCCACAGAGTACGAAGAGGTACTCACCACTCCGGTAGCGAAGAAAAGAAAGACTAAAGCGATTTCGGATTACTTTCGACACTCCAATAAAAAATCATTTTTTTAGTCAATTAACATTTGTTGTTGCTTGTGACGTGTTTCGTTTAGATGGCAAATCCGCACTGCCTCCATGGTCTTCGTTAGACGGAATACCTCGCATCGAAGGAGGGTTATGTATCGACTATGGCGATATCATTACGACCGGCCCCAGCTTGTTGAAACGGGAAATCAAAGAAAAAATTACAATAGACTATGAAATATGCTCTACACAAGATTCGCCCGACGAGGAACGCGTCTCTAGTCCTTTGGACAACACCGATGTGACAGAAATAACGGTCAACGGGCACGCGGAAGATCCAATGGAAAATGAACAGAATTGCCATCAAGATGAAAACGGTTTTGCATTGGAAAATAACTACAGTTACCTTACCCCGGACATTTGCGAAACGGAGCCACGAAATCCAAGTCAGGTCAGCGGAAGTTCGAGCGACAGTGGTTACCAAGGCAACAACAGTCATCGCCAAAGGAAAATAGGTGTTTGGAGGGCCACCTCTTGTGAGTGTACTAATCATATTTAGACTGGTAATATAGGGTGTTGAGTTACAAAGAAAAAAGCTGTTTCCTTACCATAGCGAGCTCAAGCTCAAGATAAAAAATCTAGCATAAATGGCTCTCTTATAAGCTTGAGGCACCGAAAGCTTCGCCTGAAAGGGTGATATAAATTGATTGAATTGAGTTTTCTTTGACTCCCATTACAATTCTGTCTGTCATATCTTTAAATCGATCGATCGTTCTCTATACCATTTTATCTTTGAATACTTCTATGCACTCCATTCTTTCTATGTTTACTTCAATCACTGTTTATTTCTAACTTTCCCATCCCAGCATGTCTAACCTCCCTCTCCTCTCCTATTTTCTATTTCCTATTCTCCAGCTCAACACAACGTGTTCCGCTGTGGGAATAATAGTCCCCAGTTCCTCTCTCCTTTGAGCTATCTCTCGCACCTGCACGTCCCAGGCCTTTCTGATATCTCTGACGTAAGGCGAAACCTTAGTGAATTGAGTGTCACTTCCAGTGTCGACAGCGGTTTTAGAGGCAGCGGTCATTCCTTCCGACTTCGGGATAGGTCTCCAGTCAGATGTAAGTGTACCGAATGACCATTCGCGAGCATAGCACGTGACTTGACCTACAAAGCACCTGTCTGCAATGGATACTGACTCTTGAGAGACAGCTGTCAATCTTAGCACTTTGCACGGACGTTTCTTTACCAGCTGCACTTGCAACCTTTTGCACATCTTATGCAACATTCGCTCCATCTATCTGTTATTGACTGTAATTATATTCTAATGAAATTCCTCTAAACTTAAAGATGATGGTTTTAACAGGACAAATGAACGTCATGAACTTTGGTAGGTAGTGGTAGAGGTTCTTTCGGAGCTAATTCATAGTTTGTTAAGAATAACGTGATGAAAAAAATTACTTTATATTTATTTATGACACTGTCTAAAAATGCAATGTTTATTTTCACCTTACGGATAAAACAGATAGTACTCTTTTAAATGTCTTTCAAATTGAACAAAAAAGTTCGACCAAAGAAGTCTAATTCTAAACTAATTTAATTTGTGCGGCTATCATTCGTCCTCAGGTCCCGGTCATGCGGTTCCCGTTACCAAAGTCCAAGAGAATTACTGGGAAAAAGAAAAGGAGCAAGAAACCGAGGAAGAAAAGCAGAAAATAGAAAGCACAGAGGATCTAAATGGGGAGTTTCATACTGGACCGCTAGGTAAGGGCAAAACAGTTACTCTGGGCCTTTCATTTCTTTCGTGTAATGATTAAGCGTTTCAAAAACTATTGAAAAAAAAGGCTATATTTACTTTCTTGTCTTGACATTTGTGTTACATAAGGCGTATAGATGGAAGTAAACGTTTTTACGATGTCAAAATCATTTCATAAACAGCGCATAAAAAAGAAAGAAAAACTGATAAACTCGTCAACCTCTGGTGTGTCTAGTATTTATGTGGGAGTTGTGTTGTTAAAAGGAAATTACGATTTAAATCTTCTCGAAACAGCTTCTTCTCTTTCAGACAATTATTCCCACTGTCTTCAAGCTTCCTTACCCTCTCCCGCTATCTTATCTTTGTTCTTTCTTATCTTCCCTTTTTAAAGGCTTGGAAACGGTCATCTAACACTCTTCGCTCTTCAATCAAGAAAAAGCCATCGCAAAATAAAATATTGCAATACCGTGGCTAGATTCCACTCCAAGAAGAGGCAAATTCTAAGAAACTCAACTTGAAAGAGAAGACACTCTCATAGCTGTTTCGTATGTAGACCTAGAACCAATCAGCCTTTCCAAGCGTAATGGGACGTGGAAATCGTCGAAACACGAAGAAAAACACCCAAAGGAAGCGAACAGAAAAACCGCGTCTCGATCGTGGGAACCTTTCCCCGCCCCTTCCAAAAGAAGACGCTAAGTTGAAGATTGCAAAGAAGACAGACAACACGAGACTTGGAGGTCGGCGGAAGCAATTTGATAATGTATTGTGAAAGAACAAGATTCCGACTTCTACCATCAAAAGATAAAAAAAAATGGACTACATATCATATATGAACAAGTTATTAGGCAGTTACATTTGGTTGGTTTACCAGATAGCTTTATCAGCATCAATTTGTAATTTGCACAAATCAAAGTAAAGATTTCAAAGTCATTGAATCAAATTTGGAAAGAGAGGAAAGAGTTTTCATTCAGTAGCACTGATAAAACAATTGCAAGTGCACAAGTAATTGACATAATATCTAGTAACTTATGCAAGATATATCGAAAACGTCTCATTGATATCTACTACAAATGATAAAAAGAATCGTAAAAATATTACAATGAGAGGAGATGCGAGAAGAAGGCAATGAAGAACTAAAGTTCATTTATCAAGGACGAACGCTTCCGTTAAATTTCACCGTTTGTCGTCTTTGAAAATGAACAAAGAAAACAATACATTTTTACAATCTCAGCCACTGGGATTGGCAAAATCATAATGACATGTTTCGAAAAATCTAGGCATATTATACAATAAAAACATAATACAGCGAACGTCTTTCCAAAGTTTTTTTGTGTCTCCATAAAAAAAAAAGCTTGAAACATAAACGCATAATTGTTATCAGTGTAGATATAGCAGGGGTGGACTCTCTAGCACTGATCTGTCTTACTCTGACGCGTCCTTAAAAACAGGTTATCAAGAACAAGCCAAGGTTAAAAATCAACCCTTTAAAATAGCTGCGGTGTAAGTTTGCTCCCCGGGCACGACATCACAGCCTGATTTACAGAAATTAAGGTTAGGCATCATAGAACGCAAGCTCACGCAAAGAAACACTACTGTGTCACAGAAAAACGGAGGTCACCCAGAAGAATTCAGTGCGTCGAAAATAATTTCAAGGGCATAGCTAAGGAGTATAGGGTTTAAAGCAAGCTGACATGCCCTTATTTGGCTGTAAATCGCTTGTGCTTTCCCCCCCTTCTCACAGAGAATGCGTTTTACGCCGCTAGATCGGTTGTGGAAAGAGGAACGCAAGAATGAGGTTTAGATCTTGTGTTCGTTCTTCATAGTTTCCTTAAATGGAGGATTAATTGAAAAATAAACTGTTTGTTGGACTTCATATTGTTCATGTAACTATATGAGAAGGATAGAAGAACTCAATGTGATACTTGTGTGCCCAAGATTTAAAGATTTGTCTTTCCTGTCGGAGTCTTACAAGACCTTTTAAGAACTGTTGGTGAACTCTTTCTCCTTGACTCAAACAATTGCTCTGCCAGGAATCTGGAAGCCAGTAGAACACAGGAACGGTTCCATGTCTAGAAGGAATTCAACCACACTTAATCAAATTCAGATACAATAAAAGGGAACTGAAAACAAGGAAAAGCTTCTTAATTCTGATGCAAAACCGTATGCTGCTCAGGAAAACACTATAAAACCAAATGGATGTACCTTTCACAGGGGTTTTCCAATTCCATACCAAATACCCTGATTCGGGGACAAAACTGACGAACGAGATTCATCGTGAAATATCTTGTAGAAATGGGAAGGTCCCGCCTGAAAAGCACAAAAAACACTGTTTTAGATAATACAGTCTCTATTTCGACATTTTTCATATCTAGACAGCTTATCATAAAAAGTTTATGGCGCTTTCAAATAGGGTGCTCTATTGGTCATAAATGAAGAGGCCGAACTGAATAGGCATTCTTTTAAGATTGTTCCTTAATATCAAAACTCCACCAGAAGAATGGATGCAAAATGAGGAATAGACTGAATTGATTCGAAAATAAGGTCCCCTCAGGTTATGCATGGACAAATCTGGTTGTCCAGTTGTGACTAAAGGTAAACGCCCGAGGTCCCTGATCTCCTAAGGTGTCTTTCATCTTTTTCAAATTTTTATAGACTTTCTCTTCAACGCGCTATGATTTGTCTCCTATTTGAGAATCACAAGTGAAGGAAAGCCTTCTTAATGCTAAAACAGGAGAGATTCAGCCACCTTCCGTATTTTATTCCAAGGTTTCTTGATTCTTGTGTGACTTTCTGGTAGGTTTCTTGTGTTACCCGAAGAACACCAGTATTTTTGAGGTATTTGGCAAATTTCTGGTACAGTTTAGAAAGTGTACAATTTTTACACAGCGCCTCATCCGGTCCGAGCAGTATCATGTAATCTAGATCTTCAAACGAAGCTAAGGTTTCCTGCCAAGAATCCCTAATCAAAGACTTGAAACCTGTCACTGAGACAACCCGAACAGTGGTTCTTCTTCCAACGTCTCTCTCATAACCGAGAGTAGGCGCAGAGTTCAATCTGAACACACAATCGGCAGAATCTATTTCTGAGCCTGCATTACTGCCAAGCAGCATTCCAGAAGAGCTCACTAAAGAGCACGTATGGCAATTGAGAGAAAGTTTGACAGGAATGTCGGGATTCGTGGCCAGCACGAAGAAGTGTTGCTTGGTACCAGACTCTTCAGCAGTTGGTGACTGAGCCGAAGAAGTCTTCATCGCAATTTTTTTAACTGGAGGGGAGCCAAAGGTGAATATAATAACTATAAAAAATATAATGGCGATGGTTGACACAGCAGCAACCTTCTTTATTTTTCCCACGGAAGCCTGATGGTACTTGACATTGAGAAATCTGTAATTAAGTAAGGTTTACCATAAGCATGAAAGCCCAAAGCTACCATTTTCTCAGCGATTACAAATGCTAAAGTTTACAGAGAATCATCCTTTATCTAAAGACGAAATAGTTCAGCCTTTACCTGTTCTGGATAACGGCATGAAAACGTTTCTACTTTAGAAATCAAAGAGAAAAACGAAATATCATCAGGTACGCTGGCTGGACATCAACCAATCAACCAAAAGTCATTTAGTGTGTCAGTCAGTCCATTTGCACTGATGATGTGCTGACGCTCAAAACGTCAGCTTTAGCAATTCTTTACGGTGGCCAAGATACATTTCAACTCAGCTGATAGAACCAAATCATCTTGTTATACTTCCCACCGACACAGCAACACAGTTTCTTCAGGAAATTACTTCCTTTAGTCAGTCAACTGATGAGCTAAACCAGGAATCAATCATTTCACCAGTCCATAGGTAAATATTCCGATCAATCGACAAAACAGTCGCTTATGCAATCAATCACTTACCCAGCAAGTAGCTAATGGTTTATTGATCGCTTAATTATCTAGCGACTGACTGACTGGCTGACTCAGTGAATAACTGATGGAAGGATGGATTAGATGGTTGACTTAATGACTGATTGTTTAACTGCGGTCTGATCGTTTGAATGATGAGCCGACAAACGATTAACGGAGTAAACAGTCAGTAAGACAGTCAATCACATAAATTACTTACCAGAGGAATCTCCTGAAACAGTTTAATCTAAGAGTTACATTACAGGAGAAAGACTATCCTCGTCCAACATCTTCTCAGATATGTTGTACATACCTCCGGACGTCCATGGTTGAGCTTTGGCCATGGTCCAGTTCTCGCCTGCCCACAAGAAACTCATCGAGCATGTCTTCATCCGCTACGCCAGCTGTTCACAGATTGAAAAACTATTTAAGTTGCTGATTGTTCCATCGTATAGGTAATTTGGATTTGTTATGGCTTGGAATGAGTCTGATAAGAACATAGATCACTTCAAAGACCCCCACTGAGGTGTTTAAAAAAAAGAAAAAAAAAGGTTTCCTTTCAATTAAGCATCGTTTCTGATTAGGAAAATTGTGCTTAAAAGGAATCTCAATGGCAGGAAGCCAAAAAAGGAAACGAAACATTAACGATCCACACTTTGAGAGTAGCTGAGGTGACTCGAGGGGAAAGATGAGTAAACTCTTATCAAAACAATGGCTATCAACTTACAAATTCATTTCAATTTGATTAAGTGATACAAAACTAAAATTGCGATTGGCTTATGTTATGGAAAAAAAAAGAACGATCACTTTTCTTTCAGCCACAGCATTTGCTTGGAAATTTAAGGTTTGAGAAAGTTTGGATTGACGCTATTACCGGAGGCAAACTGATAACTAGATGGTGCAGTAAAAGTCATTTATGTCTCTTATTAAAGACGAAAATCTTCTTAATGCCCTTCGGCAGTTTCATGTCCAACTAAAGTAAAATAAATATTCATCAGATTAGACAGGAGATTTATCGTACTCTGTGAAGTTATCTTTCAGTGCTATTTGTGGTTAGAATCTAACTCCATCTCTTCAGTAGTGCGGCCGCTACCTGCACTATCTGAAATGATCTCTAAAGGATCCTTTATTAACACTCGCCACGTCGCCCCTTTACAAACCACTTACAAGTAGTGCTGTTTTGCTGCCTGATGAGAGATCTTAAAGGCTTAAGAGTAATCAATATCAGGAATCACCCCATTCTATATTTTTTATAACAATGCACTGACAAACTCTTCATTCGGATAAATAATGGAACATTAGCAAGGGACATCCACAAATTCTCAGAATTGTATTACAAAGAATATTACAAATGACAAAAAAGAAAAATGATGCTTTCAATCCGGCTTAGAATTTGGAGAGTTATAGAATACCTTTTCAAAAGATTTGACAAATTTAAACTATTGAAAACTAGTCAGGTATGCATGGGTAAAACTGATACGAATTTAATGGTAAACGTTACAAATTTCCTCCCTATAAAAAATATTTTACGTAAATTTGAACCAAGAGTATAATCAATCCGATATATTTTTCAATTTTCAGCCACAGAATATTTACGTTTGAAAAACAAAAAACGATGGAAAATGGAGAAAGTGAGATGTACTATGAGAGGGCGGTCCGAATTGACGAAGTTAATGATATATTTACATTGAAACGAAATGGAAACCATTTCAAATCGAGTCAAGCCTATAAAATTGGCCAATCACAATATGCATAGCATGCGAATGGAAGCACACGTTAAGTTCAAAATAATTTTTTCCGTGTTATGAATTTTTCCTCTCTTTATTGAACTAAAGGTGAGATCTTCTTATCACAAACAAGATACTAGCAACACTTTGATTACCACCATGTATGAAAATTATCCACACAAAAAAATGGTTTTTTCACAAATTCCTGTCATGTAAAAAATTCAGTTTTAATGGAAATCTCCGTGTCCATTAGAGTTTTTATTTGCCAAAATCTTCTGGTCTAAATCTTTTACTCTAAATTTCCCCCTTTCTTATCCAAAAGCAAAGTAAATTGACTTTTCTTAATCGTGTCATTTCGTATTTAACGTCAAAATCGCATCAAATGAAGTTGATTATGCTACATTTTCCATTTGCTTTGATTAATATAGACATATAATTGCGTCACAAGACAGAATCTCGATAAGAGATAACCCAATCTTGTATACACGGGAAGAAAAATGTTTTTTGGGAAGTTAAATATATTCGGAAGCTAGAACAAACAGAAAATTCGCAGCGACTTGCGAAATGATTTTTCTTTTAAGCTTTTGTTTTCATCTCGGCAGGATGTCGGCAAAATCTTATCGCTAAAAGCTGCAATACTGCTTTTCGATATTGAAGGTTATCTCATGTATAGTGAAAATAAATCTGATAACGAAAGAAGATCACATTGGAAAGAAAATACTGTCACCTAATACTCTAAAAGAAGACATTTTGAGATAGGGAACATATCTTTCCACTAGGGAATTAAATTGGAGAATTCTCCCTTTTATGCGCTCAAGGACAATGATAATCTTTTTCGGTGGCAAAACTGAAGAAAATAACAGTAAAAGATAAACCACCACCTCTCGCTGAACCATTTGCCCGAAATTTGAAGTTAAAGAAATTTCTGCGAACAATAACAAAAGAAGAAACTTAAATATATGTAGATAAATAAAAAGTAATATTTTTGAACTTATTCACTAAGTGCAATTTAGTTTCCTTACTGTTGTCAACATTGACAAGGAAGGAAAAAAGAAACGACATGGTGAAATCTTTGTAACTGACTTGCTGGTAGATCACTTACAAACAAGCGCCACTGAAACCAAAACAAATTTAGTGAAATGTACCCAGCGTGGCTGGCTACAGGACTCGTCGAAAACTGTTATGACCTCCTTCTTCAATGATTTATGACATACAACATTACTGAACCGACCGGCAATTTTAGGATGTTAAACCGTAAATTTCGCAGTCAGCACGGACAGAACACGTTCAACACGCCGGGGAAAACGTTTCTTACCGTAATAGAGCGGAAGATCCAGTGGCATGGGGACTCTTGGCTAATTCGTGATGGAGTAGCGCTCGATCAAAATCAACTCGAACGCTCCTCGAGCACTCACAAATACAACGCTTACCAAAACAGCGCAACAAAACAATCCGTCAAATTTGCATTTTCAAACGAGTGTGGAGGTGTAACAACAATCCAAGATTAATACGTTTCTCCTGCGGAAACTGATTTGATGAAAATCTCTAATTGCCACAACAAACATAAGAGCTTGCACTTTTACGTTTGGCTGTACACCTGTCACTTCCGAAGGGAATCGACTCAAATTGCCTCATAAATCTCGGGCCGTGAGATGCGACCGCAAAAAGTTTTTTTAAGATTTATCTTGAATTGAGGCGTTACGTTCAGTGGTTGCCGTTTCATTTTGTAGCATTCGGATGTTTTTCAGGGTAGACAAAATATTCCTGTTTTTCCCCTTTCCGGCAGCTGATTTTGTTTGATGTCAAATGCGTATGAGTTTGCCACTTAACGAAAATGCCTCCACCTTGTTCAACTTAAACCCACATCCGGGATTTCCTGGTTGCTCTTTCTTGTGCCCAGTGTCCTTATAAAAGGACGGTGCGATTTCAACGTCAGTTGAGGAGTGTCTTCATGAAAGCGAGGGAAGAACATTCTTGGGAAATACAGGGCCTACTTCCGATATGACTGGACTCAAACTTTAGATTACAAGTGGTTTCTCCTCTCGTTGGTGACCCTGTCTCTGAAATGAACGAACCACGAGGTTTTCAGCTTTGAAAGAGCTATCAGTCGCGCTAGGTGCACAAGGGGTGAAGGAAACTCAGCTATCGCGCTTATCATCAGTCTTTCAGCGAAGTGACGAAGAGCCGTGAACAATTTCTTCCCACAAGCGATCTAGTCCAGATCACTTCTGCACTGCACTAGATGATCTACATTACGCATTACATTACATTAGACAACCAACAAAAAATCATTCTCCTTTGAGTTTTTACGGAATTTTATTTTTAGATATAAATTCACATAGATTCACTTAGACAATTCCATTTTGACTAAAAAATACGTCTATATAAGACTTACATTAGGGCTCTAGCTGAGCCTTCAATGCCCTACAACAATCAATGTATAGCTTCTCCGTGGCAGATTCAGAGCCAGATCAAACCCTTGACCAAAACAACAATCCTCCCAAGAGGGATTGCAAAACATGTACCAACATTGTTGGGAGAATCCAACTGTTGATACTGAACTGACACGACGGTTTGCTGAAACTCAACCGTTCATTTACATATTAAAATAATAAAAAAAATTATTGACTGAGAATTTCAAATATCGATAATTCCTTATCCAGCGGCGACTCGTTATCTTGTACTCTACGAGTGTTAAACAAGGATTAACTTGCTGTTTGTGTTTCAAGTGGGTTAGGATCTTCGATCACCGGAGGTTCACATTGTCCGACGGTACAAGTGTGATAGCCGGTGTAATTCAAACGAGTAAACAGATGGTAGTTACCGCTATCTTAATTACTTTTAGAGGAGCTCTCTTCGATTGAGTGTCGAAAGAAAAAAAATTAACAAAACAATCACAAAAGCCGATCAAATTGAAGGTTAACATCAGACTTAGCCAATGAGTACTCAAAGGATATACACGACATGTCTCAAGCGTAGAAACAAGCGAGTGAGCAAATCTCGTCTAGTCTTAGCCGTCAAATTGATTGGCTGAAAAGATGTCTGGCCCATAGAATAAAACAAAGCAAATAACCAAAAAAACACGGTTTACATTTGACACCCAATTGAAAATTGCATCATAGTCTTTATGTTCAGCGGTACCTCGCTGAAACCTTGCGGACAAATCAAGAACTTATAACGTGAGAGTTCCGTTCGACAAAGCAATTTGTTTTATGAGAATAAAATGAAATTAAAAAAAAATTAGAGCTCTTGCTTTGGATGACACCTCACTTTGCTTGATTACTATCGACCATTTTGGTACTAAGAGTGATCAATACCTTACTTCTCTCTTACAACTTCAATACACTGTCGGACTAAAAGGTAAGTAGAAGCAAGAAAATTATCAACTACGGTACAAACACTGCTAACACATCCTCAAGACTAGCTAACAAAGAAAATTAGCACAACAACAACAATAACAAAAAACTAGTTTTCACATTTTATGAGCTCAGTCATTCTTGAAACTCGACTTCTTTTTCGACAAAGTACACTCTTAGAAAATTTCATAAATAAAATTAAATAACACTGATAAATAATAAATGAACAGAAGGTATAATGTTCACACACGTTTCAATGAGGAGTCATCCAAACAGAGTTACGGTTACAACTTAGACTTGATATAAACTGGTTAAATATGGAAAGGATTGCTTTAAATATAGGAATTTAAATTAAGTTTTGAACTTAGAAACTGACGCCTTTCTGTTGATAATATCTCTTATTTCTGCCTTTAATATATTAATATTTCTTACGGCCACGAGTAGCTTGGAGTGACTCTCAAACCCTCGAGTCCGTGTAAACCAAAAAAAGGTCACATAACTAAGCTCCCCAGATGATGTGACGTCACGCTCTAGGGTATTCGGACATAACGTCACGCTATAATGCCTTCTGGCCCCGGTGGTTCGATAGGTGGATAACGCTAGTATCCGCTGGATAAATCTCTATCCGGTGGTTAGCGCAGTATCTTGTGTTGACACTTATCCGCGATTTATCCGTGGGATAGAATTATCCATCCTTTGAACAACTGGGCTATGATCTTTAGTAACGAAACACTATCTAGAGATAGCAATTATAACACCAACTACACATTATCTATTACTTTATGTAATCAAATTTTTATATTCTGAAGAGCTATTAAAATCAAGATAACCTATAACGATCTATATCTCTGATTAGGTTTCTGCGAGTCACGTGTATAAGGAATAATCAACATGCTCATCAAATAAATAATATATTAAACAACTCTTATAGTAGTTATTAATACTATAGATTTTGTAAATTATAAATCGGACGTTTTAGACGTAAATATTTACATTTGAGATAAAGCTTTTCATTTACTATTTTGTTGTGTGCTTTTGGTGAGGGGAAAATGCACCAGTTAATAAAGTAAAGATGTAAAGTTCTAAGTTAAAAATGGTAAAACTAAGCGTTGAAGACGCAAGTTCCTAAAGTACTTAACCTGAAAAACAATTTTTTTTAACCCATTCATAATTTTCAATTAAATTTTTAAAATTCAGAAAATTGCCCCTTTAAAGTGAATGAATAGACGATTACCCAGGCCACAAAAAACCTGTCCCGAGCCACAGAATATAAAAAGAAATGTAGAATAAAATTCAACTCTAAATTTCATAAATTCATACATTCTATTTACAATAACAACTTATGCGTTTAATTATTTAGACAGGTTTCTCTTCCACTGAGTGAAGAGGAGAGGCAATAGGATGATGTGCATCCTTAACCCATGAACTCCCATGAATCGATAAGTAATTCTCCCTTCTGAGCGCCACAAATTTTCCAGTAAATTGCCATAAAGAATTTGGTATTCTATCAAGATCACACCCTCTGGCGGATTAGCTTATCTGTTCTCAGAATCTATTTGCAAGATTATGTATTAAAGTAACACTTTAAGGGGTTAAAGCGTCAAAAAACAACAACAAAAAAAGTCAAACAAGTCAAACAAACAAGCTTGGAAATCAGAGGAATTAAAAGGAGTTACAACCGCCAAAAGTTTGCTAAAATTTAACCACATATTTAAATGCAATATTCCTCTTATATCTCTTATAATAAGTGAAGTGAAAGACAAACACAAAGGTAAACGCAATGGATGAAGCAAGCGACATGTAAATAAAGAGGAGGATAATATAATATGGGTTTCAATAGTGTGGTTATAAATAGTGCATAAATAGGATTATTAGGGACACGAAATACTGTGGTTGTCACAGAAGTAACAACACGAAAAGAATTAAAAGAGCAAAACCATTGTGAAAAGGGGTCTTATCTTAGAGGATAAAATAATACAAAATGTGTAAATACATTTCGAAACCTCATTCAAGGCTCCAACCGTTACTGTAGTATTTTAAAAGATATGTAGTTAGCGGACTTTGAGATAATTATCATGATAAAATTCTTAACTTCTCTGGTACTAATAATTAATAATTTCTTGGCAATTCATTTAACATTCCCATACATAACATAACCTTAGTATCTAATAATTATGAATTATAGGTTTTAATTAATCTTTTCGTATATCTTATTCTGTATCTTAACACTTAAAATCTGCCAATGCTTCTTTGATATCTGCAATTAGCTCCTTGTAATCTGTTGCATTTTCTTCAATTATTTGCTGTAATTTTTCAATATATGTATCCATGGAATCAAAGGTGAGCTTCACACCAATGTCTGGCACCTGGACATGGGACAGTGAGGCGATAAAACGCGTCTGCACCACGGCAAGTTTGGTTTCCACCACGCCTGTCCTGTGTCGGTCACTTGCCGTCTCCTCCTTACAAACTGTCAAGCGTTGTTCCAGTTTGCTAATCTCCGAGTCAAGCTCCTTATTGAGTTTCTCGCATTCCTCGTTAGACGACTGAAGCACGTCGATCTCCTTATCCAAGGCGCGCACTTTTTCAATTTCTTGTTGAGCTGGTGTGGTAAAAGCAGCACCAAGCAAGAAGGTTTTTTTTTTTTTTTCGGATTTCGATCAAAAAAATGACGCTACTCCCTGCCTTACTTGTCTACTTTGCTTGTCTGTTTGTTTGAATTTTTTTTGACCAAGCAAACTGTCTGTCTCGCCTGTTTGTAAACTGACCTTTGAGGCTCCTTCCTACAAACTGAATGACTGGAGACTCTACGTAAGCAAAACTTCGATTGCCTGGCTCTCTCTGATCCAAGCAGGTACTAAGTCGATGCGTTTACCAAATGCCGGTCATTTCTGACTTGTAGTTTAACAACACGTAACATACAAAACATTCGAACCTGCGCGTGAACTCCTACAATTTGAAAGACGAAATCTAATAACCCTGGCTTATTTTATTCGTCCGAATTCACATGAAAGATTTCCTCAACGTCTCGGCCACTATTCTTGGTCTTTGACACATTTCGACAGGAAATGTCTACACAAGGTTTAAATCCTCGATACGAGTTCTTCAGATTATTGTGTCA